CTCTTCTCCAGCCTGCTGAAGGACATTAAATATGGAACATCAGAAAACGATGGAAGAGACGTTCCATTACCTGGATATGACGAGATTTGAATAGTGATTATTCGTTTAATGAACAAGGAAGCGGCTGCAGCTGGGGGTCTGCCACCAGAACTGTTCAGACATGGATGTGTTCAGCTGACAAGGTGCAGAATATTGTCAGAAGAAACCTTTTCCGACGATTGGGGTGTGTTCAATCCTCCTAAATATCGCATATGAAGTTTTATCGAACGTTTTGTGTGAAAGACCAAATCCCACCGTCAAGAAACTGATCGCACCTTATCAGTGTGACCTTAGACCTGGTAAGCCAACTATTGATTTTTTAAGATTTGACGCATGGTAAATATCAGACCATGCGCCAAATCTTAAAAAATAATCTACACATATCATCACTTCTTCATCACTTTTAAAGCCGCTGAAAATTCAGAAGCCATCTCTATGCCACTATGTCTGAATTTGGTATTCCCGCAAAACTTATACGGCTAGGTAAACCGACGCTAGACAACAGCGCAGCCAGAATTAGAACACCTCTGCGAGCCTTTGGGCACCAAACGAGGTGTTTCAGATTATGGAAAATATACTTTTATAAGAGTGTACAACTACTGGCGTACGCCGATGATATTGACATTATCGGTCTCAACAACTGCGCCGTTAGTTCTGCTTTCTCTAAGCTTGATAAAGAAGCGAGGCGAGTGGGTCTGGTAAGTGAACGAGGACAAGACGAAATATCTCCTGTCATCAATCAAACAGTCATCGCATTGGCGACTTCGCTCCCACGTCACTGTTGACAGTCATAATTTTGAAGTCGTAGATAATTTCGTCTATCTTTGAATCAGTATAAACACCAGCAACAATGTCAGCATGGAAACCCAACGCAGAATAACTCCTGTCAATAGGTGCTAATTTGGATTGAGTAAGCACAACTAGTGGTCAAAAATTCAGCCTTCGAACGGCTGATGGTTGTTTAAGCATGGATCATCCTACGCCAATTTCCCCAGTATTGGGGTACTTATGCATATGTGTATACGCTTGCATGCTTATGTGCAGATGAACAGCAAAGCAATAAACATAAAGTGCCTATTAGATGTTAAACTCAGAGGTATTGTATGATTTACGACAGCTTGTATTATTACATGCCTAGATGCCTGCCAGCACCAGGAACTGATAAAAAAAAAACGCCAGTTCCTTAGCGGTGTAGGCTTGACTTACAAAACCACTGGATCAACCCCTCGCTCCACAAATTTTGAAAAGCCAAAGAGCTCAATAAATTCGCAACGCAACAAATGGAATTGTCACTTCCGCACCATATCCAAATTCTCACCCCTGAGCTCCCAATAAATACAAATTGTGTAAAGAGGAATGGTCACCCCGCAACACCTTTAATTTTTTCCTATGGAGCTCACTTTAGACGACCGAAATTAGAAAATTTAACTTAATTTTTGTTTAACTTAATTTCCTATAACTTTTTTTGGATGTTAGTACGACACCAGGATTTAATACGAACCTAATGAATGGCATTACGCAATGCTAACCACTCGGCTACCACGGTCGCGAGTCTTGGCATATATGCAACGAAAATATACATGGAGACCTTGATATACCAATGGTAACCACAGAAACACCCGTGAAAAGAAACACCCGTGCAAATCTTTTAGCTTAGTGTTTATCTGGATACTGGTAGATCACACGTAAATTACTATAAATGGGTTAATGCTTAAATAAGCAATTCCAATAAATCAATATCTTTTGTGTTATAAAAACCAATGAATCATCCCTTTGTTAAAACTTTTTTTTCATAATCGATGAGACTTATGCAATGTTCTTTCCAATAAAAAAAAAGAATTATTAGCTGAGGTATCATATTAATATACTCTTTCTTTTAGGAATTGATAATTGACAAAATTAATCGGATTTTCACCTACAGAAATGCAAACTTTTGATATTTGTTCTGATCAAGTGTATCGTTAGAGTATACCCAATTTCCATACTTATTTAGTTTATTCTCTGAAACTACCTTTCTTTTACCACTGGTATATTTTTAATTCTTGGCGGAAACACAGCAATAATACGCTAGGGGTGACCGAACTTTATTCGCTTCTAAGTAGTTGTGCTCGCTTTTAACCATCTGGCGTAATAGCAATAAACTCTCGCATTCGGAAAGGCCGCACAAAAGCAAGTGGTTGTTTCTACGGTTGCTATGTATAGCTGATTCTAAATAAAATTATTTACTTTTATAATTGTTTTTGCGGCCATGTTATATATTAATTTTATTAAGTAACCTACGAGGCCTTGTTGTTTGTATGAATTGAATATTTGTTATACAACAAAGAAAAAATGGTAGAAGTGACAGCTGTTTCGGAGATCACCACATCTCCTCATCAGACTTCTTATGGCAGGGATCGAACCAACGGATCCTGACTTAACAGGCGAGTGTTCTACCACTGCGCCAACATCAGCCATATAATCTGTTGTTGTATTATTCAATTCATTATTAACCAACAACTATTAAGTGCGCTAATTTAGCCGCTATTTTTCTTAACAACTTGGTTAGTGTGTTGTGTTGGAATCCTCTATACTTCCAGGCGTTAACTGACTGAAAAATGTATAGGCAATGTTGTATAACAAATATTCAATTCATACAAACAACAAGGTCTCGTAGGTTACTTAATAAAATTAATATATAACATGGCCGCAAAAACAATTATAAATATATAAGTAGAACCTGATACTGAATTCTGCCTATACATTTTTCAACAAGGCCTCGTAGGTTACTTCATAAAATTATTTACTGTTTTATTTTATGGGATTGATTTGTGTATTAATTAGTGTACGCCTTGAAACCCTTCTATGGCGAAAGCAAAAGAAAATAGGAAAATGAAATGTCTCCGTAGCTTTAGTTTCAAAATTCCTTTTAATACTTTATTATTCAATTAAATGTTTACTTTGGCCATTTTTTTGTGAATTTGCTATCACTAAGCAAATTCAACAAGAGAAAAATATAATGCGCTAATGGCCATCGTGCAATATTCTATAAACATATAAGGCGGCCTCGGAAGCCAAGTAGTTAGCATTGCGTACTGTCATTCGGAAGGCTCGGTTTCAAATCCCCGTGCGAACGAGATCTAAAAGTTATAGAAAATTAGTTTGATTAAAAAAATTAAGGTAAATTTTCTAAATGCGGTCACCCCTAGGCAGGGAATGTCAACCCCTCCGGGTGTATTTCTGACATGATATAAAGCTCCTCATAAAAACCTTCAGCCGTTCGGAGGCGGCTTAGTATAAACTGTAGGTCCCTTCCTTCCTTCCCTTGGAGGAGGAGCTCGCTTCAGCGCTTATAAAGCGCCAATTATATCTATGTATATAACTGATGACGTAAGCCGATGATATTGCATTATCAGCTTCAAAAATCGTACAGTCAGTTCAGCTTTCTCCTGAATGGCTTAGCAATTGACAGGAAGAAATTAATACGAAATATCTCCTGTCATCAAACAAATATTTTCATGCAATTTCTTATTTTATTATTATATAAAGTTTGAACCTGGGCATTATTGAAATTAACGCTTCGCGAGTGTTTTAAACTTCGATCCTTTTGTGGTAAATTTCGACTAAAGAGTGAAATGTTTATCTAGATATATAAACACGGTTTTTCACGTAGCTTTTCTAAAAGAAGTGCAACGTTCTCAAATTTCACGATCTCGATGGCCAAGTTTTGAGAGTCTGTCAGAAGTCGAGATTTTGAAGTTCTCGGCTACAGAAAAATTTAGTCCAACAGCTGGATTCCAGTGTTACTAAAACTTTTGGAAGTTAATTTTTGATAAAGCGAGAATAGTTTTTTGAACGCTAAAAGGGAGCCAAAAGTCAAAGTTGTTCGAACGAAAATGGAAATTATGAAACTATTGGCGAAATGGTTCTTTTAGTGCACGAATTGTTTTATATGTCATCAGTAGTAGAGACCTAAATAAATAAATAAACTATACACGAGTTGGAATATTGAAGTTCAATTTACAGCATGAACTACAAACTGATCTGTTAAGAGGTTTGGCTACGAAAAATTTTCTTTAGAATTCTCTACGGTAAGTCTTAATGCAAAAAGTGAACTTGGTCTAGACTACAATTAATAGTTATATAAGGATTAATTAAAAAAAAATCCCCGAAAAGCAAGCTGATGCGCTTCTTAAGAATTAGGAACATACTGTTGTTATCATATCAAGTAATCTTTCATCGATTGAGTTATACGACATAAAAAGTATAACATAACATCGCGCATCTTTTATAAAATTAAAAAAAGGATCGAAATTCAAACAAATTTGTAATTTGTGGTTTTCACCTTTGTAACCTTACGCAAAACAGGCTGATATCGAATATTGTTGACGCTGTATTTCTGGAGAATCAGTGAGTAAACGCACCTCTTTTAGGATCAGAGCGGCCAAACTTAGTTTCCAATTGTTAGACTTAATTTCATGTCACTCAGAAACAAACTGTCAATTCTTCGGGAAGTTAATTGTATAGCTTTATCGATAAGACCCCGTGCCTCCGCCGCATAATCTTAGGACTATACATACATAATCACTGATTGGGTATTTGGGTCCGCCATATGCGAGTGATCTACGTTCAGTGCAATTAATCAGACAAAGCAATTCTTCACTCTATAAACTAAGTATGCTTTGAACCGCCGTCTGCATATAGCTTTATTTCCTCCTACTATAATATTTCCTGGCGTTAAGATCTTTTGAAAGTCTGCTTGAGAATCCAATATTTACATCATCAAATTTACGCTTCATCTTTTTATCACATTTTTCACGATGGTTCACTAAATAAATCGAAATAATATTTATATTCGTCAAGCTTAGTTTCACTCCGTCTTCTTGAAATTAATAGTTCCACTTGTGACGATTTATGTAAAAGAAATAAAAGAAATTTCTTTGTTACCTATGTCGTATTGAATTAAATTTTAATCTTTTAAGGTACACATATATAATCAAAGATTTTTTGCTGGATTAAATAAATGCACACGAAATGTTCCTATCGATCGAATAAACATACGAGACGTGAACTCCTCACAGTTAGGACCAATGCCGATTCCGACAAAGAAATTACCATTCCGTTTGGATCAGATACCATTCTATGATACCCATTACATGGTGAACGCGGCAAACTCAGTGTCTAGACAAAATTTCGCAAATACATTAATCAGTCATGATGATGAAGAGTCTTGGGATAGTCCACTACAGCGAAATCCATCAATGACATCTTGCTTACTTACATACAACGCATACAAAAAGGAGCAAGCATGTCAGACGAACTGGGACAGAATAGGTGAAAGTGACGTTATCTACAACCAAAATTACTACCGGGATCCGCATCTGGTAAAAAGGTAAGATTATTTTTATTACAAAATTACAAATTCTTCTTAAATGACACTTATTAAGCGCTGAAAATTTGGAAATTTCCTTAAATTAACTTAGTAGAATTTGAGCTAAAGGCAATTTGATGGACTTTAATTAAATAGATTAAAAACTTACTTTCCCTATTTTCAATTTTATTTTGAAATTTAGAACCAGCTAGATTCAGCACTACTTACAAAAACTCAATCATATCGAAACATAATTTTTCTTAATCGATCGATCAACGTGTGGCCCACTTCTCGGAAAGAAAAGAATTGCAAGCAAATCGAATCTTACTACATCTAAAAAAATAATAAAATATTTCTTGTAAAATGGACCACAAATATGATTATTGATTAAAATGGTACTAGATCCGCTTACAGAAGAAGAGTTTATGTTTTTTAACAGTTCTGCTGAATGCAATTGAACAAGCCATTTCGGACAATTTCTGCTTTAAACGGTACAGATACGAGAATTTTATATTAGATAACTTGGCCTTATTTTGAAGAGTTGTCTAAGCAAATAGGTACTTCTCTTCGAATACGGTTCTTATGATAATGTTGGAGAAATTTTTTTTCGGATTCCCGCAGCTGTCGGATGCTTTTTAGCACTTTCGTAAGAGTCAGTTTTCGGTAAATCGCCCTGAAGGGATTTCACAGTTTATAAATTATATATAAAATAAATAAAATACGACTATAATAATCAAAGTAAAAAGTTATTTGCATATCTATGTATTTACGTCCTTCACTTCTTTTTAGGAATCAAGTGCAAATGAATATGAATGCATATAACAACTTCCATCAACACAACAATAACTATAACAGTGTATCTACACAAAGTTGGAATAATCGAATGGGCTCGCGCAGAAATTCTCTTAAAGGCTATTCGGCCCCACCACCACCTCCCATGCCGCCTTCTAATATGGCTTATCGTAATGACCAAGTTCAGATGAGATCAATGCAACAAAATAACATGAACCAAAACTATAAACAACGGTCATCATATATACCATCCGATCCAGTACGAGAATTGAAGGATATTGTGCGCCGGTCCCATGATGAGGATGTAGGTTGGCCAGACCATAATTTTTTAATAAATTGTGTAATTTACATTCTTGTGTTTGCTAGAGTTCTGAAGAACCACCGTACAATTTCAAGGCAATGCTTCGTAAAACGAATTATTCTCATCCTGATTCCAAAGTTTACGAATTCAAGAGCGATTTGCCCAACAACAATAATGAACATTTTAACCAATCACAGCTTCGCCCCACGAGTCATCGTTTTAATGATAATCAGTCATCAAATATAAATAGCCAAAAACAACAGGTAAAACAAACAGCAGTAGGAAAGAATTTCGATAACACAGATGCCAAGTCATTCGAAGAGGCCGGTTCGTATGTTGAGGAGGAGATTGCACCGGGAGTTACGTTATCAGGATATGCTGTCGACATATAATAGAGTAGTTTTTATAATTTGGTTTGATTTTTTATTGTGTGGTAGCCGTAAAAATCTTCAAAATTAATAAAAGTCATTACATGATCATATGTATATTTTATATATACATATATACAAACATGAAAATAAAGATAGCGAAAGTAATAACAATCATATAGCTTAATAAATCTTGGTCACTATTGTATATCTCATTTAAAGGGTCAGTAGGAAACTTTAAAAGAAAAAAAAGGACATTCTTTGGCATTTATTTTTTTGAAGATTATCTCTTTCGAAAGTTAGCATTTCGAGTAGTAACTGGTGAATTACACGCGTGATATTTTGCTTCAAGGCCTGAAACGCAGCAGGATTGTCTGCACAGACTTTATACATTACATATCCCCACAGTAAAAAGCATAACGGTGTGTTATAACGCAATTTTGGCGACCAATTGACCGACCCAAAACCTGAAATTATGTATTTAGCGAAGTATTCTTTCAATAAATCCATAGATTGATATGATGTCTGTGAAATGTCGCCGAGATTACGAGCTTCAATTTCAGTCATCAAATCGTCGTTTATCATAGCGTGATAACGTGACGGTTACGTTCTCAACAGCTTCACTTCGGAGGAAATATGGACCGATGAAATACCTGCTATTTCATTTCAGGTTTCTCTTGGTCCGAAATGCGCAGTAAGCCAGAAAAGGGCCTCATCGTTGAACAAAATTTGGCTCGAAAACATCGCATCTTCTTGAAATTTTTTAAGAGCACGATGTCGCTTTCGCCAAGTATGTACATACATCATTGCGAGTTGCTGCGAACGGCGCTGAATGGACTTTCCACGGTCTTCGTGTACGGCCACTGAAATGCATTTTCTTCACTGCGCCCTAAACTTTAGATGGGTGATGGTGTTGCGCATAGTACGCTCAGTAGGCCGTTTATGGTGACGTAAATATTCATAATAAAGTTGAATGATTTGTAAACATTATTCAGGAGTAGGTCTAGGATGAAATACCATGTAATACTGAACAAAAAAAACAACGTGACAACTTCACAAGACTCACGCGTGATGTGTCAGAAAAAGGCTATGGAAAAAGTATCTCTAAATAAATAGGAATGAATACACTGATATGTAATTTCTTTACAAGGTAAGGTTTTTCGTGAGCAGTTTGAAATTGCCTTATTTACAATGTTTATGTTTGCGTCAATATCCAAAATTTAAGGATTACTATGTATGTATTTACATACATATGTACAATAGTATTTATATTTATTAAATAGAATTTTCGTTTCTTCATGGAAGAGAAGTAATCTGCTTCAAAAAAGCCATTAATACGATTTTTGAATGATCGGTCCATTGCACGGAAAAAAAGTAATGTTTGTTAATCCATGCGAAAAGTATCTCTGTACCAAAATTTCAGTAAAAACATACAAGAAACAGTGTTTAGGTCATTGGCCAAAATTCTACTAAAGGTATTATCTTCCCACAATCCATTCAAAATATTTACACATTTTCGTACATAAATAAAATATTCAATAAATTTATTATTTTCCTCGAACCGGTGTAACCTAATCTACGCTCATTTGCTTCGTGTAGTGTAACATTGGCCCTTCGCGCCGAATACCTGATTTACGATAAACCATTAACAAAAATGTTTCTTCATAAATATCGCCAAATCTTTGGTGGAAGCAAGAAATATAATTTCCATTTCAATAAAGAAACTACAAAAAAAAACTACATTGTACACTCACATACATAAAAAGGACATCAAAGTTGCTGGTAGCATATATTATATATATATATATATACAGTTACACCTGGGTAAGTGAGAACTGCATAAGTGAGAAAAGTCTATGAACGAGAGTAATAACGAGAGGTTTATAACAGAAACCTCTGTAAGAGAGTGTAGTTTTCCCCTCATGAACCTCCGTTAGTGAGATTGCTACTTATCTGTACTTCTATGAGTGACAGTCGAGCTTCTGCTATTTAATGACTCGATCTTAACTTTCGGGTAATTTTCTACAATTGTTTTTGTATTGTTTTCCCGTCAATATTGTTCGCAGAACTAGAAAACGTTGTTATTGTATCGCATTCTTTTCGAATGTACTGCGTAAGTGCATAGTGAATTCGTTTGAATCCGGAAAATCGCGAAATGAAATACAGAGGGAATGTTATTTACCAGAATTCACCTATTATAAAATTATAAAATCAAAAGATTGTATAAAGTCTGAGTACTCTGATGGACATGGTTATATTACTACCATGAATTTTTTTGAATTTCCCAATATCGAAAAGTGCCTCTTGAAATGGATAAACAATCTCTCGATAAGAATATTCCCGAAGTTTTGTATGCCAGCAACGGCTGGTAAGAGGGTTATAAAATTCATCATGATATAGCTTTCAACGTGTACAACCACTGGACTGATGATACGTAAAATTTTGTATGGATGCAGACGATATTTACAACGTGAATGAAACTGCTTTGTTGTTCAAGTGCCTTCCAGATAAAACATTTACGTTTTAAACGAAAAATGCCATGGAGAAAAATAAAGCAAGGAACGCTTTACACTTCTCCAGTGTGTAAACATGAGTGGTACGGACAAACTCCCACTTCTATCATCGGGAAATCAAAGCCACCTAGATGTTTTAAATGTGTCAAGAATTTTTTGGTAAATCCTTATTTTTTTGTCAACAATTTTCAACCAATCTTTAAATAAGATCTTGGTCATCCAAACCTTTGTATTATTGGCATAATCACCGGTTAAAACAAACCTGCCAACCCCACTAGTAAACTTAAACCATTACGTCAAGGCACCATTCATACTTTTTAACGCTTTTATCGCAAAGAAGTCGTTAAGCAGAACGGAGGGTTTTGGAAAAGTACAGATGAGCAAGAGCTGCCAGATGAATATGATGTTGAAGTTGGACCTAGCAACGAGGAATAAGCTAAGCTTGTATCTCACGAATTCAATATGATAATACCGAGTTTCAAAGATTTCGTTTAAATGTACGACGACGTTACTACCGTTGGAGAACAAACGATATCGTTAAGAATTGTGCAAACACCTGTATTACAGGAAATGATAAAGAGTCTCGTTATTGGAAATAGATATAAAGACCATTCCAATAAAGCTAGCTCCATCAGTACTTTAAAGACGCGGCGGTTGTTGATCTACGAGAGAAACGCTACCCATGCACCTGCTTTAGCGAGAAACTCGGGTTAGTGACAAACCTCTAAGAGAGAATTTGATTTTGCTCTCTTGAACTTTAGCTTATACAGGTTTGACTGCATATATGTATGTATAAAATTGGCGCTTTATAACCGTTGAAGAAATTTTCAGCCGGACCCCTCCTTTAATTTGTGGTCTTGCGTCTTAATGTTTTTCCCACCTCTAGTTTATACAATGCCGTTTCCGAACGGCTGATGGTTGTTTATGAGAAGTCTACTTCTGAGTTTCTCTATTTCTGCTTAGAACAGACTAAGGAAACAAAAAGTTGATCAAATAATAGCAAACAAGCTTTCAAGGAACACATTTTTTTTGAAACAAAGTAACCTGGCGTAACCGAGAACAGCTCAATAAACAAACCTCTTATCAATTGCACACCTCACAAAAAAAATAAAAATAAAGGTCCAAGCTTCGTTGCTTTCTTAGAACACAAATTTTTAAAACAACTAGCTGTACCCTGCAATGCTTCACTGCCGCATGTACTCATTGAATGATTGGAAAATTAATCATAAGACATCTTTACATTATATCATAACTTTATTTACATGTGGGAATACAACATTTTTGGTTTAACCATAAACTTTGGTCACACAGAGAGGAATAGTCCGACTTTTTGAACAGGCCAGTTCCCAGTCCATTTCCCGGAGAGAAGAGTAGTTTTTCTGCTCATCTAAGCACGAACCCACCTATTCTTCAAGTAAGCCGAACCACAAATAAAATTTCTTGAAAAGATCAGCGCCTTGTCCACTTTCCGGAGAGAAGAAGAGTTTTCCTGTTAGTCTAAGCAAAAATACACCTACATGTGCACCGAATTTTAAGTTATTCGATCCACAAATAAATTTGCTTTCAATAGGTCGGTCCCCGGTCCACTACTCTTAAAAGCCTACCCAGGTATCATAGAAGCAATCTGACGAAATTTCAATTTCAATTTCGACTGGTAACTTTAGGAAATTTTTGGATATTACTGGATTTTTCCACGCGGATTTTTATATATTACGTTCTTATGGCTTTCCCGACAATTATTATTCCTAGTTGGAATACATGATTTGAATATCAAAAATATAACAATAGACTGAAAACCCATAAAACAAAAAATTGCAGGATCTCCGCATTTTCACAATTCACAACGTCTGAATTGCTTGTACAGAATACCTAACCAAAGACGAAGCGATGAGAAGAACGATGCACATTGGCGATCGTCAGTGAAGCCGTAGACGGTATTCAGCATAAGGACGATTGTTCAAGGTTATCCGGTAACAAACAAGAGATTTGAGGCGGTTCGGCGGCATCTCAATATGAAATGAATATTAATTGGTTAAAGCACATTCCAATAAGATATTTAATATTCTGGCGGTTGTTATAGGAGAATGCAATGCGGAGCTCCATGAATTGACCAAGAAACTTCCCAAAGTAAATCTTGCATTGTGTGAACAATCCAGGAAAGATCATGGAACTATTCCTTGGTGGGTTAATTCAGGTTCAATTTGCAACCTTGAAATCCATATCTTTAACCATCAGTTTAAGGACGAAGCAGAGAAAAAGTTCCAGCACCACATTAGCCTAACAGACATCTGGAAGTTTTTCCAACAACCGTTTCCTCTTTTTCGTTTAAAATGTGCGAAAATAATAAACACAGATGACAAGTAGCTCTCCTCAGTTCCATAAATTAACACCAGGCAGAAGATTGGACTTCGTAATTGATCGAACTATTTGGCTCCGGGACGTACTTCGGCATCTTCGTCAATAAGTTATGCACTTGTGCTATTTGCCAAAGGAAGCATGTTTCTCTACTCCATACGAGACGTAAAAACAGATGGACGCGCCCGCCTTTTCAGATAACATCCCTTTCACATCAGTCAAGGCCCAAAGCAAAGGGTCTGTTAGGACAAAATAGTAACGCTGACTTAAATCAAAGAGTTTTATTGGGAAGGGCAAGGGTCGGAATTTGTAACAAAGGCATT